TGATTGCCCTAGCCTCGGTCAATATGTTCTCAGGTACAGCAGTGCCTTTCACCTGACCCTCTAGAGCTTCGTCGATACGCCAACCAGGCCATTCTTTGAGCTGAGTCTTGTAATTATCTAAAGTGGGAAGAATATGAGAACGATGTTTGTCGGGATTAGATCTTTGATGGGATAGACTAAGAGAGTTATCGCATGTGATATTGGGTTGAGTTGAACTATCTCCAGTACTGCACTCGAGCCGGGCTATAAAATCAGCATCGTCATTATCATTTAGGTGGTCTTCAGTATTGTCAGCCAGCAGAATGGATTGTGAGTTTCCATCGATGCGAGCCCGTTTGTGGCGGCGTTGCCGAGCTGACTTTCGAGACTTGGATGGCTGGTGTGGGGCGTTGTTCTCCGTAGATGAGTGTGAGTCAGAATTTGAGTCTGAGGAATCGTCGTCTGGTTGATACACATCTTCCACAGGATGTGAATCAGAGTCCGTGTCAGAGTGGGGTGCATGTCGAGTTCGAGTCAAGGTGGTTGCTTGTGTCTGGGTGGCGTCAGGAGTTGGTGGAGCTCCACCTTGCGAAGTGATTGAGGTAGTGGTTCCTTCAGGTCGAGTGCCACGAGATCTAGTGCCACGCTTCTTTCCAACGTTCGAGACAGGATCCGGCATGATTTGGTCAGTCGTAGGTGAAAGGTCCGGTTGTGATCGTTTTTTTTTAGCTTTTGACTTTGATTTGCTCTCGGAGATAGGGTGTAGCGGTTGAGAAGGTTGAGAAGTTTGGGCACCTGAGCGTGTCCGCGGCATGATGTTGAACCAGTGAAATAGAAGACAAGGATCATGGAACCTGATGTTATTGTCTTGTTCAAAATCGATTCTCAATCGTATGATTGATTTACGTATACGTTATCATTTCCAAATTTGCCTTATTCTTAGTCCCGCTCGGGATTTTTAACAATCCATCAATGGGCGAAACCCTAGTTAAGTTGCGATCACTTAATCATGTGACTTCTGCGTGTC